TTCTATTGTGCCATGCCCGAGCTCTTGTGCGGGCACTTCTTTGAGAAGACTAGGGAGTCTACCATGACCTACGATACTTTGAGTAGGGAAGTGGTAGCATTCGAAGCGCAGTCCATGCCGGTTTCCACTTTTTGGTATAAGGACCTTGAAAAGGGAAAGAAGTGGAAGGGCCGTACTATATCGGGTCAGGTTAAGGGCAAGGATCACCTGATCCTTACATTAGATGAGGGTGGTATGGAAGAGGTCCCATATGATTAGATAGAGTGGGGCCTAGAGGAAGAGGATAGTAGCTCTAGTCAAAGGAGGACTTACGCTGCTGTCGCGGCTGGAGGGAGGTGGCAAGGAAGAGGGAGAGGCCAAGGCCAAGGGCCGGGCCTCTGGTGGTCGTGGACAGGGCGATCGGGGGGTTGGTGGCAAAGGGGGCCGCCAAGCGGGAGGTAGGGGTCAAGGTCCCCCGCAAAAATGCTCTAGTTGTTATCGATCACCATATAGGAGAGGTGGATGGCACCCTAGTTTGCCACAGGGCAGGCCTTGGGAAGATTTGGGCTTAGAACAGATTGTTTGGCAGAGGTGAATAGACCAGGATCAGTGCATTTGCCGCGGTGATCGGGGCCACATCATAAAGTGCTGCCCTAAGTATAGGGAAGCCTGGTTTGCTGCATAGGCACCAAAAGGCAACCACCGGTAGGGGTTGCAACTGCCCCTATCCTTGGCCCATGTGGTGCGCGCACCATATAGATACTCCCAAACCACATGTGTCTACGACAGAGGTTGCTGGCCAGTGCCTAGACCGTCGTCCAGAGACTGCTTGTGTTAGAGTCTCTCTAGGCACCTCCCTCACCGGCGTGGCAGAAGAATTAAAGGAGAGGATGTCTCCCTGGGCCAAGATGAAGAATGACGCTGAAGGACAACTACTCTTAGTAGACGTAGAGATTTTTAGAGGTAGAGTAGGGGCCCTTATAGACATTGGGGCCACCTGCAGTTATATCAGTGGGAGAGCACTACAGAAGTTGAAGCTGAATTTCAAGGTCCAAAAGTTAGAAGACCCTATACTCGGTATCCTGGTAGACAATCGCACTATGCGAGTCGAGGATTACGTTGAGGGAGTCCGGGTGTACTTTCGCCCAAAGAAAGATAGGAAGGTAGAAAAAGTTATCCATTCTCCGACTCTCCTCGTAGAGGAGATCCTTCCTTTTGATATGGTCCTAGGAATGGACTGGGGAGAGGCAGCAGGGGCCACACTCCATTTAAGAGAGCACGAGTGTAGGCTCCCTAGTCCTACAGGTGAGGTTAAGACTGCTCGCCTGTTTCATGTGTCAAGAGTAGACGACACTCTGGCATATTGTTGTCTCAGTGCTCCCACGTTCGCGCGTTTAGTGAAGGAGTAGCAGTTAGAAGAGCAGGTTTTTGTAGCCTATTTTAGGCCAGTCATTGAGCCCAAGGAAGAGAGACCCATAAACCCTGCTATTGCCAAGCTGCTGGAGGAGTTTAAGCCTTAGCTAAGCCGCCGACAGTAGTAGTGTCGCGGCCGATCCAGCATCGTATAGAGATAGAGCCTGGCAGTAGGACTCCTAAGGGTGCGGTATATAGGATGTCCCCAAAGAAGTTGGAGGAGCTGTGGAAGCAGTTAGACAAGCTCCTTGAGAAGGTATGGATTAGGCCTAGTTCATCTCCATTTGGAGCACCTGTTTTTTTTGTCCCCAAGGAGGGAGAGCTCAGAATGTGTATAGAGCTATCACAGTAAAGAATGCAGAACCACTGCCCCGTATAGATGATCTGTTGGATCGGGTGCAGGGCTGTAAATATTTATCGAAGATAGATTTCAAGTCCGACTATCATCAGATAGAGGTTCATCATGATGATCAGTATAAGACAGCATTCCAGACTAAATACGGGCACTACGAGTTTATGGTTATGCCCTTTGGACTAACCAATGTGCCAACAACTTTCCAACGTTGTATGAACGATTTGTTTAGGCCATGGTTAGGTAGGTTTGTGGTAGTATATCTAGACGATATCCTAGTGTTTAGTAAGACACTCCAGGAGCATGAGGGCCATCTGAGGCAGGTCTTGAAGAAGCTGAGAGAAGCTAACTTCGAGACCAACGTGAAGTGCAAATGGGCCTAGACTATAAGTCTTGTACTTGGGCCATGTCCTAGATGGAAACGGCATAAAACCTTAGGATAGCAAGATTGCGGCGATTAGAGATTGGCCAACGGCCCCCGCGCTGACAAAGTTGCGGTCGTTCTTAGGCCTAACTAACTATTATAGGAAGTTCGTCAGGAACTTCTCTACCATCGCTGCACCCCTTCGCAGGGTGCTAAAGAAAGAAGCAGTCTGGAAGTGGGACAAGGACTGCACATCAGCCCTGAGGAAGTTAGAGCGGGCTTTGATAGAGTATCCAGTCCTCAAGGTAGCCGATCCGCCCTTGCCTTTTGTTGTCACCACTGACGCAAGTCAATACGGTATAGGTGTTGTTCTACAGCAAGATGATGGCAATGGGTATAGACCCATAGAGTTCATGTCTGCTAGGATGCCTTCAGAGAAGGTTCGACATCTACCTACGAGAGAGAACTCTACGCTCTCAGGCAAGCATTAGATCACTAGAAGCACTACTTGCTTGGGAGGCACTTCAAAGTCTATTCAAACCACGAGACATTGAGATGGCTGAAGACAGGCCAAGATGACACCTAAGCTTACTAGGTGGGCCGCAGAAATAGATAAGTATGACTTTGAGCTTATGCCAATCAAGGGGAAGTATAATGTAGTCGCGGACGCTCTGAGTAGAAGAGCTGATTTCTTTGAAGCGATAGTTCACTATTTGGATATAGGGAGAGACCTGCAACAGAAAGTCAAGGAAGCGTATGCGCAGGACCCGATCTACAGTGACCTCCTAAACGAAGTTAAGAAGACCCCATAGTTTGAACCAGACTACTGCACTACTGACGGGTTGCTATTTGAGAAGACTAATGTAGTTGACCGTCTGTGTTCCTAACAGTGAGGAGATATGTAGTTTGATCTTAGGGGAATTCCACGATATAGAGGGACACTTCGGTTGGCAAAAGACTCTAGCTAATCTCATGCATGCGTGGAATGAAGGCTGACTGCATAGAGTATGTGCGTAGTTGTAAAGTCTGTCAGAGAAACAAGACTACTTCACGAGCCCCTCTTGGTCTTCTTAGACCCCTGCCTATTCCTGACAGACCCGAAGATTCTGTCCATTGACTTCATGGATGCTGGGGTCAAGAGTAGGCATGGCAAAAGCCAAGTCATGGTTATAATAGATAGATTTAGCAAGTATGCAGTTTTCATTCCCTTGCCTGCAGAGGCACGCACATATTTAGTAGTTTAAAAGTTCTTTGACCATTGGGTCAGTGAGCATGGTATACCGCTGTCAATAGTAGTGACATGATACCAGGTTCAACAGTCAGAACTGGAAGGAACTAATGAGAGTCTATGGTTCATCCTGAGACTAACGATTAGACTGAACAGATGAACAAACTCCTGCAACAAGTTCTGAGAATGTACATTAGGCCCAATCAAATCAACTGGGAGGAGATGCTTCCCAAGGTAGCCAGTGCATACATTAACAGCGTGCACTTAGCCACATGTCGCACACCCAACGAACTGCACAAGTACTTTAGACCACGCAGACCATTTGAGGGACTTAACCGGGATCAGATTCAGAGACTACCGCCCGGTACACGAGATTTTGCGATACAGCACGAGAAAGAGATAGCTACCGTTGCAGATAACCTGAGGAAAGGCCAGCATAGAATGATAGAGCAAGCTAGCAAGCACCGTCACCCCTCACAGTTTCAAGTAGGCGACCTAGTCTGGGTCAAGTCAAAGGAGTTCGCTCCTGAGGAGAACATCTCACAGAAGTTACTGCCTGCGTATAGAGGACAGTGGCCAGTCTAAGAAGTCAAGGGCGGAGAGGATGGACCGTCCTACACTATTGAGATTCCAGCACACCTCCACACCTACCCAGTGTTTCATGCGTCAAAGCTGTTGCCTTGCACCACAAGTCAACAGTTTCCATCACGCAGATCTATGATTCCTCCAGATATGGATGGAAGATATGTCATTGATGGTATAGTAGGTTAGGACCTCTTCAGGACAGGAGGTAGAGGTCGTCCACAGAAACAGTACAAAGTCAGATTTGCCTTCAAGGGCCAGAAGAGGATCGCTGGTTCACGTGAACAGAACTTCTAGAGACAGCTCCCGATATAGGCCGAGCCTACGAAAGAAATAAGAAGGGTAGAGGTCCTGCCTTAGACTGAAGTATTCTTGGAGGGCCTCAAATTTAGGCCGGCGGGAGTGAAACGGTTTTCACCTTTCTGCAGTCACAGATGCGGGCCCTAGAGTTCGATCCCCAGACCTTACCTTGCCCATGTACAGGATCGAGTTGAACCCCGAGTGTTTTAACCTGTGACCTGTGTTTTGGTAGTTGGTTTTGTTGTCTGTCGTAGGTCTGTGTAGTTGTAGGGGTTCGATCTGTAGGTCTGTCGAGTAGAGGTCACAGCTCTGTAGACGTCGTAGCTGCAGGAGTTCTGCGAGGTCAAGGTCGTGGCTGCTACAGTCCTGAAAGGTCAAGGTCGTGGCTGCTACAGTACTCGAAAGGCCAAGTCCACAGACTTCCGGGAGGTCCGGAAGTGGCCTTTCGAAAGTGTGTCGCGTTTAGGCAAAGGCAAGTGGTCAAGTGGTGGAGTGCAACTTGGATGAGTCAGTGGTACCCAGTCCCAGTCTCACTTTGCACCGTCAGCAAGTACCATGAGGGACTGTGGGCACCGTGGGCCCAGTGGAAAGGGGGCAGACCAACGAGTTACAAAAGTATAAATCAAGAGGC